GTCACACCACAGGGATACATCTGCCACATGGACAGGAAAGCGAGGGTGAAGGAGGGAGTGAGGGGGAAGAGAGGAGTGTGGCTCAGTTCTGGTTCTGGAACTGATTGGCCAGCCAGTCCAGTCCCTCATAGAGCCCAGCCCCAGTGATGGCAGAGGTGGCCTGAAGGTACCAGTTCCTGTGGTGCAGAGAGTGCAGGCCCAGCTTGTCTGTGATCTCAGCTGTGTTCATGGCATTGGGGAGGTCCTGCTTGTTTGCAAGCACTAGCAGGACAACATCCTTGAGCTCTGTCATCATCCGCATCAACTCCTGTCTGGCCTCGTCCATGCGTTCCTGGTCAGTGCTGTCCACCACAAAGATGAGACCATGTCTGCCTGGGCAGTTTTGGCTCCAAAAAACCCGCATCTTTTCCTGGCTGTTTACGTCCCACAAGACGAAGCTGATGTTCTTATACTCCACAGTCTCCACGTAGAAACCTATAGTGGGCGTGGTGGTCACGACCTCATTCAGCTTCAGTTTGTACAGGATGGTGGTCTTCCCAGCACGGTCCAGGCCCACCATGAGAATGCGCATTTCTTTTTTGCCAAAAAGGCCCTTAAAGAGGTTCGCAAAGATATTTCCCATGCTGTAGACCACAGGGAGAAACAATGGCCAGAGAAACCCTTGGCAGCCACGGTGCTGCTCTGAGCCAGGCGCTGGCTCTCTTTTGTGACTCTTTAGCCGATATTTGTTGATCCTTACTGTAATGCTCTGTCATTGCTATGACTCAACCACTCTTTCTGTTTGTGTTTGTGTATTCCACTTCCACTGTCACTATCAATTAACTTACTGTTTTCTAAAGTTCAAAGTCCAGAGAGAGGACAGGTGCAGTTTCAATTGGTCTAGAATAGATGATTCATCACCATCATCCTGGTTCAACAGAACTGTCTTACTGGACACTGCTCTGGGTGGCACTACGATGATGACCCCCGGTGGGTGAGGCACCTAAGGAGTGTTTGAGGACCACCTCAGGGACTACTTTGAGAAGTTTGGCCCACCTAGTACATTGCATAATGTTTAAAGCATTCTTCTTTTTGTCCCTGCAATTCCAGGGATCCAAGGGATGTGAGATAACCTGTAGAAACTGGGGATCCCTCCTGTTTGGTATAGGAGATGAACCTGCATTCTGGTATGTGCAGTGACCAGGAATCAAACTGGTGACCTTTTGGTGCCTGGGTCGATGCTCAACCACTTAGCCACTCAAAAGAAGTCCCCCAATTTTTACAGTATTTGGACTTAGGGTGATATGATAAAGTAGAATTTAAGCCACTAGGGCTCTTTCTACTGTATGATGTTAACAGGTTACAAAATGAATAGTTGTTTCAGAGAAGTAGTTATAATTTTCAGGCCCAAGTAAAATTGTGTTGAGATTTTTTTTTTTTGGTAGTTTAAAACCCCAGAACATAAAAATGAAAGTGAGATTTGGCTGATGATTTTCTCTTAATTCTTCTTAAGAAAACATTTCCATGTCCTTATAACATCCAGAAAGATTGAGGATTTTTACAAAACAAGTCAACATTGCCTGAGTTATCTTTACCGTGTTCTTATTTTATCCTTAAAAACTTAATATTTGTACAAGAAGATAAAACTGATATTCCCTGTGCTATGTCATTTTAAAATATTCCTGAACATACAGAGAAAGGCCAAAAGAATGTTTGAAATGCACAGCTAAAGAACAACTACAACCACCTTCACAGAGGAGCTCAAAATGAAGTTTTGATGTTGATGTTTTGCCAAATTTTCTCTGAGATACTGATTATGACTTGCAGCCAAATATGACTCATTGCTATAAGTGTTATATCTAAAATGATATAATTAGTTTTTTGAGTTTCAGGGGAGAAAAAAGGTGATATTTTAGCTTAACCAATAAACATATTACAGTTATTCTTCACATGTACAACAAGTGCATATAATGTGATTAAATTAAATACTGACACCAGGGTTCTTTAAGACATAACCCGGCCATATCATCTAATATTGATGCTCACTAGCCAATATCACCTGCATGCACACAGAGCTTACAATCAGCTTCTTATTGCTATACTAAAGTGTCTGCAGTCAAGCAAGGATCACCAGATTTTTGAGGCTCAAAACAAACAGGAATAAAAAGAATTTGCAGGGCGCAGAGAGAGAATGGAAGGTTTTAAAAACCTCTAATTAATAGCCTCAGGACATTAGGAGGACAGTACATTCATGAAACAAATCAAGGTGCTATTAAAAAAGAAAATATATAAAAGGCTATTGAAAATTTAAAGTATTAGGGCAGAAAATAAATACGGTTTTGCTTTGTGCACATTAACCACAGGTTAAAAACCGTATTTTAAATAAATAGCCAAGAATAACCTATACTCCTAAGTAATGATTCAGTAGTTATGGCTGTAGAGGTGGTATTTATTATCATCTTCTGTCCCCTCAAATTCATCTTGGGGTGCCCCAGACAACAAATGCAATGTTTGTTTCAACTGTCATTTCAGGTTATTCTGAAATTCCCTTATTATTTTGCCTTTTTTTTCCCTTTTAACTGTTTTACTTCAACTTCCTGTTTTCAACTACCTATTCATGTTTGGTGTAGATTAAATGTTCACTGTAGAACGTTTAGTTTTACAAAATTATTCTACTCTGAGAAGTAAGTAAAAAAAAATGATACTAGCAATAAAGAAAACCATGATCTTTAACCTATTTGTATTTTCAGGGAACTGATCATGATAGGAAGTGGAACTAAACACAATCTAGTAAATAAAATTAAAAAAAATAATGGCAGCAGGAAGTTAAGCTCATTTGTGTGAGTTAATGATTAAAAAACTTTTTGGTGTTAATCCTCACATAAGGATATTTTTCCCATTGCTTTTCCAGAGAGAGTGGAAAGAAGGGAGGGGTGCCTCCTGCATGCACCCTTCGTGCACCCAGCATGCACTCCTACCAGGAGTGGGGAGCGAACCTGCAACCTTTCGGTGTGAAGGCTGACATTCTCACCATTGAGAAACACTGGCCAAGGCTGTGAGTTATGATTTTTTAAGTGATCAAAAGTTAAAAGCCATAAAATAACGTTTAAAAGCCTTTGAAGGCTCAGCTCTCAGGTTCCAAGGATCAGGCACAATTTATCTTTCTAAAGTCCACTCTCCCAGATTACTTTGACATACTGCAATACCATGCCACCGGGTTCTAAAAATGTCAAATTTTCTGTTTGCTCAGCACAGTTTTTCTTCTCTCTATATTTTCACACATGTAAAAATCAAGATTCTGCATACCCTAAAATCTTTAAATAATATTGGCATTTTAGAAGATGAACTACATGAATCCTTGGTGTCTTCTACTCCTGGGTTACAGATGTCTGCTCCCAGTGTACATGCACCCTAATTTGTAAATCCTGCAATCTTCTGAACCCATTCATTTTCCAGATGACAAAAATGAAATAATTTGCCAAGGTTTAGAGTTAAGGATAGAACCCAATGCACTGAATGGAGAAATTATTTGTGAATTATATATCTGAAAAGGCATTCATATCCAGAATGTATAAAGAACTCTTACAACTCTACAATAAAAAGACAAATAACCCCACTTTAAAAATGGGCAAAGGATTTTAATACACATTTCTCCAAAGAAGATATACAAGTGGTCAATCAGCACATGAAAAGATGTTCAACGTCATTAGCTATTAGTGAAATGCAAATAAAAACCAGTAAGAGATAGCATTTCACATTCACTAGGCTTGCTAGAATAGAGAAGAGAATGGCAGGTGCTGGTGAGGGTGTGGAGAAATCAGAGCTCTTATATACTGCTGGTGGGGTCAAAAAATGGTGCTGCTGCTTTGGAAAACAGTTTATCAGTTCCTCAACTTGTTAAACATAGAGTTATTTATGACCCGACGATGTACACAACCAAGAGAATTGGAAGCATATCTATACACACAAACTGATGTATAAATGTTTAGAGTAGCATTATTTATAATAGCCAAATGTCCATTAATTAATGGATGGATAAACAAGATTTGGCATATCCATACAATGAAATAGTGTTTGTCTGTAAAAAGGAATAAAATACTGATATAAGCAATAAATGGATGAACCTTGAAAACGTTATGCTCAGCCCTGGCTGGTTTGGCTCAATGGATAGAGCACTGGCCTGTAGACTGAAGGGTCCCAGGTTCGATTCTGGTCAAGGGCACATGCTGGGCTTGCAGTCTCGATCCCCAGTAGGGGGTGTGCAGGAGGCAGCCAATTAATGATTCTCTCTCATCATTGATGTCTCTATCTCCCTCTCCCTCTCTGAAATCAGTAGCAATGTATTTTTAAAAAAGAAAACATGCTCAGTGAAAGAAGCCAGACGTAAAAGTCCACATATTGTACAATTTCATTTATATTAAATGTCCAGAAAAGGCAAATTCATAGAGAAAGAAGTAGATTAGTAGTTACCAAGGGTTGGTGGTGGTGGTGGTGGGGGGGGCGAGTAGGAAATAGAGAGTGACTACTAATGAGCATGGGGTTTCTTTGGGGGATTAAAAACTAAGTTTTTGTTTTGATAAAAATGTTTTAAAATTAGATGATGGTTACATAATTCTATAAATATACTAAAATCCACTGAGTTGTAAACTTTAAAAGTGTAAATTTCATGGAGTGTGAATTCACTTCAGTAAAGCTGTTTGTATTAAAAAAAACACTTATACTTTTTCTTTGAGCTAATAGGTAAAGTGAGTTCTTGGAGAGACATAGAATTCTTCTGTTTCTAGGTGGGAAATTTCTCTGTCTGGCTCTCCATTAATGAACTCATCTGCTATTTTAATGTCTGTCAAGGTTTTCATTGAAATACCACATCTTCCTTGGTGGGCATTGCTGCCCTGACTTAGGTAAAAATCTGTGGCACCCTTTACATTGTAAACAGATAAAAGCAGAGGTTTTCTGGTTGGAAATGATGTGGGGACCTAATATGCTAAACACATACTTTTATATGTAGCCCAATTTTGTTACGTAATAGATAGTGACATACACCTTTTAGCTGGGACCTTTGCTGAATAATAGAGGCCATTATTAGACCATAACCTAATACCTTTCTCTACCCTAAAACCATTAGTGGGGTTTAAAAGAAAAAAAATAAGCTAGTCCCACCTTGTAGCAATATGATAAATAGATACATCTTTAAAAACTGTAAAACATGTCTTTTAGATGAATTTGAGGAACATTCCCATACAGTAGGTTGACATAGGGTGCTGTGTAGGATGTCTAAAAATAACCACAAGCATTCATTTCCTTGCTTTCAAAAAGCTTGTACACTTTCTTGGGAAGATAAGCATTACATGAACTGTTTAATTAAATGATATAATATATGAAAAGCACATGATTTTGGCACATATTAAATAAGACCACCAGAATTAATTCACTAAAAACTATTAAAGTGCTTTCTAGGTACCACATGCTATTTGAAACATGGAGATTACTCTGCTAAACAAGATAGTGGTCCCAGGCCACCTAAACAGCAACACAGAGCAATAATGCAAAATACTTCACAGTCACTAAGTGCAGTAGAAACGGTAAGTTACTCCTTAGTATTTGAGAAATAGCATTGGGAAGTTGTAAGCACAAAGTTTGGACTTGTTATCTGTTTATTAAAAGATTCAAGGGTGTGGCTCTTGCCTTTAACTACAGCAGCACACAGTCCACTCATTGATGACCATGAGATCACTCATGTGTGCATATACATACACTTTTTCAGGTAGAGCTGGGCCGCTGGTGCTGGAAGATGAGTGTTATCTGGGGCGAGGCCAGGGCTACTGACTGTTGGCTGCCTGTACCTTCCCTCGATAAAGCAGGTAGTAAGCAAGGTACACAGTGAAGGTGTTAGTGGTGGTGCTGGCTCATGGTGAAGGGTTTATAAACAGGTGTTTACCTGGAGCCTTCCCACCATGGTAGCCAGGCCACTCCAACATGCTGAGAATGTACAAGTCTTAGAGCTGCACCTGGTGGGTTCTGCCATCTTCCCATCGGTTTCTCAATGTTGACAAAGCTGTGACCCTGCCAGTTCGGCCTGAGGAGATGCAGAGGTAGAGAGATAATTATGTGCACCAGCTCTTCCCCCTCCGAGAACCCGCTCCTTGGACTCGCCCCAGCAGGTTGAGCTTCTTTGTTTGTTTCCTTTTTGCAGCCCTGGCACTGAGACATGTTTGTTCATAAATGTGCCTGAGCTTTGTAACCTCTTCTCCTTCCTGAAAACACATGATGTGATTTCTTTCCCTCAGCCCCTTTCTTGGAGGGCTAGTCCACTCCCTTCTACCCAAGACCAGCACACTCCCTCAGGAATTTACCCAGTTTTCCTGCTCAGGGCTACCAGCTGTTTTATCCGTTAGTGGTGACTTGCACAATCCTAAGCAAAGAGGATGGAGGTAGGAAGAGTGAGAAACAAGAATCCTGTTCTAATATCAGGGCCTGGGGTCTCTGGAGGGCTGGGGGCTCTGTAAGAACTGTCACTGTAGGACAGCAGTTTTCAGAATGTGGTCAGAGAACTTTTTTCCCTATGGTCAGAGTACATTTGAGTCCCCAGGATCCTCTCTTTTTCAACTACATGTTTTCAACCAAAACATATCTCAACAGATTGAGTGCAGAAGCTGATATGAGAATCCAGCTGCCTTCTATTAAGCCAGACACAAGAGATTTGAAAAAAAGCAAATTCCACTCCTCTTGTTAACTTTTGTTTTAGAAAATATGGCTACATTTTAAATAAAAATGTTATTTATGCTAACATGTAATGTATTTTTTGTTGCTATTTTTAAGTTAATTAATATTTTTAAGTTTTGTTTGAATTTTAATGCAATAAATATTGACATGCTCATATAAAGAGAACTCTTTGGAGTCCTCAACAATTTTTAAAGTATAAAGGGATTCTGATATTTAAAAATTTGAGAACGGCTGCTCTAGGTCTGCTCTTGGCCCCCATTTGTTCTCTTTCTTGCTCTTCCCAAGATACCACACCACGATCCATTGCTTCAACTACCACCTCCAAGCTGAGGGCAGCACCTGAATTTCTGTGGGCCGCTCTGCAAGCACCTGGAGGTAAGGGAATCAAGACTGCTCCTGAGAGTTGAACTGGATAAATCCCTACACTGCAGATGTGATCAGCCTTTCACTCACTCAACAAATATTTATTGAGCACCTACCCTGTGCCATGTACTATTGTAGACACTGGGCTTACTGGAATAAGCAAAACAGAAAATTCCCGAACATTCTACTGGGGTATTGTTGGGAGAGTATAATCCTATGTAATAAAGATGTAATATGCAAATGGTTGTTATGTGACAACTGACCGAATAACGACCGGCTCATGGATCAGCAGGAGGATGGGGCAGCGAGCTACAAGTGGGCAGCAGAGAGCTACAGGAGGGGGCAGGGCAGCAAGCTATGAGTGAGGGGCAGGAGGCAGAGATAATGGACAATGAAAAAGGAAAGCAAAGTAATGTGACAAAGATTGTGTGTGTGACTGTATGTGTGCATGTATAGCCTAGAAATTATGTTGTCCTGCACAGGGCTACTAGTAAAGTATAATGAGAAATAAAGCCATATGTAGAAGTATTATAAGAAATTATCTGTAAGAGCTTGACTTTAGAAAGTATTTGGGATAACCCCAAATTCCAGGATCCTTTTCCCACAAGGTTTCCAAAGGTGTTATTCCGACAATGGACAATGAAAAAGGAAAGCAAAATAATGTGACAAAGATTGTGTGACTGTGTGTGTGCATGTATAGCCTAGAAATTATGTTGTCCATTAGCCATTCTGCTGGTAGGCCTCTGGGAAGTAGGTGTTTACAAATTTCATCTTGGTAAGGCGGCAAATATGATGCAAGAAAAGTTCCTGTCAACCACAGGAGTCGGGGGAGGAAGAGACCCAGGGGAGCACACCTTGGGATTGGCAGCTCCAGGCCAAGT